GGTCACGAACTTTGAAACTTCATTAAAATATGTCTTCTGGTACAATGTTCTCAAGCTCAGAGAAGGCTTGCTTGGCCAACTCATCAGCCTCGACATTAACAGTTCGAGGAACAAATTGAAAAATGATAAAATCAAAAGAACATGCTAACTCTCTAATGTGTCCTAAGAGCATATCCACTGTAAAATGAGATTCGTGAGAGTTGAGGAGGCGAATTAGCGTTTGTGAATCAGATCGCATCGTGATAGAGGAACATCCGAAATCTATTGCATAGATCAAGGCAGCTTTAAGTGCTCTCATCTCTGCAACTAAGGCTGAAGCGACGTCGACACATGAGGCTGATGCAGAAAAAATCAGAGGAATCCGTCATAGATGTAAGGATCCAGCTATATCCACATGACACACGAATCTGGAGGAGATATCGATGTTCCGAGATTCGTTTGGTGGGGAATTACACTTCACGGGCAAAGGTGCTTGAGCGTTCTGCCATTGCAAAGCCTTCGAGATGGCTTTACGTGTAACTTCCTCCTCTGAGAATCGTTTCTCTATGAAGCTCAAATGATTTCTAGCCGTCCATAGGTTCCATAGGATCCACGCATATAGGGAAATCACCTTAACTCCTTCCTGAGGTGCAGTTTTAATAGTTTTCAGGGCAGGGAGGAAAGAGAACATATCACCAGCTCTTGTTATTGGTCCTAAAAGAGGGGAAAAACTCCATACTTTGATGGAAAAAGGGTAGTCTCGCAACACATGTAATATAGTTTCCGGAGCACCGCAGCATTTGCAACGAGGATCCACATTCATGCCCCTTTGAAACAGAAGCATACCTACGGGCAGAGCACCTACTAGTGCCTTCCAAATGAAGCTTTTGATTTTTGGTAGGTCTGAATTTTCCAGACATTTCGTTGCCAATTAAACTGCGTTTGTTGCGTCGGAATATCATGTAGAACAGAGACCCCGTAGCCAGAACGGGTTGAGTATTCACCTTGTTTTAGGGGAAGCCAAACTAGTCGATCAGCCCTACGAAGAGAGCCTAAAGGGAGCAACCTAATTATGTCCTTATATGAAGGAAAGAATTCTCTGATCTTGACCAGATTCCACTGCCTATTGTTGTCGTCAATTAGGTCTGAAATCGTCATTTTCTGTAGAGCCAGAGGA